GTCTCATGACATCGCGTCATATCCAACCCCAACAAGTCATCCCTCGTCTCGAGTACACCTCCCCGTGGTTGCCCTTAGATCACGTCCAAAGTTACCAAGGCACGTGAACCGGCTTCCGGCTAATACCTCGTTCGCTATTCGCTCCTTGGACCCTACCATTCCCGTCGTCTTCACCATGCCCGAATTAAAAGACATAACATTTGAAGAAGTTTCCAGGGTATGTCGACAGAAATTGATCTAACATAAGAGCAACAACCTAACTATGAACCATAGCACAATCGCGAGGATGATTTGGTAAACGCTCCGTTTTTCTAGAGAGTACGGCTATGAAATCTTATTCTGAAACCAATGCAGTGGGTCATTGTGGATTCTTTCGTCTATGACCTTTCCAAATTCTACAAGTTGCATCCCGGCGGCATGGGTGTGCTCCTCGACCCAAAGATTGGTGATTCCAATTTGTTAGAGTACTTTCCAAGATTCATTTACTGATATGTATGGCCTCACTTTATAGCCGGGAAGGATGCAACGACTGCCTTTTTCTCTTTGCACCGAGCCGAGGTCTTACAGCGACCCGTGTACAAGCGCTTGATCATTGGAAAACTCCCTTCCAAAAGTCCTCAATTCGTGCCGCCAAATCCGGACGAGCTCAGCAAGGTTCCCTACGGAGAAGCAATGTGGTTGGGCGATGGATTCAGTTCTGCCTACCACAAGGAAAGCCATCGAAAGTTCCAAAAGGCTGTAAGGTCGTTCATGCGGACAGTCGTTCTACCGGATGCAATGGCTTGTGAGGAGAACGGTAAGCGAGCTAGTCAAAAGGTCTTTGATGCATTGGCGTAAGTCATCTCATACACCAAATTCTTTATGAACCCATACTGATTAGTTTATGTTAGAGAGAAGAATATCATTGCTATGCGATTCGGACCTGGGCCTCACCTTAAAGGCTTGACGCTCATGGATGGCGTAATCACACCAGAAGAATTCGACTTTTTCCACGAGTCTATCCTAACCTACGAGCTCGGGCGACTTGGCACCAGAGGTTACTTTGATGGTCTCCTCGCGGGTGGTGTCATTGGTCTCCCACCTATCCTCAACTACGCCCGACCAGAGATCAAGGCCAAAGTCGTACCTGAAGTCCTCCAAGCAAAGAAGTTTATCTGTCTCGCCATTACAGAGGCATTCGCAGGTTCAGACGTATCTGGCTTGCAGACCACGGCTGAAAAGTCGGAGGACGGAAAGCACTGGATCATTACTGGTACCAAAAAGTGGATCACAAATGGAACATATGCCGACTATTTCACAACGGGATGTAGAACTGGAGAGAATGGATTCACCGTTATTCTTATTCCGAGAGGCGATGGCGTAGAGACGAACGCTATCAAGACGAGTTATTCATCTACGGCAGGAACTGCGTTTGTTACATTTGACAAGGTCAAAGTTCCAGTGGAGAATACTTTGGGAGAGGTTGGACAGGGGATGAAGGTCATCTTGCAAAACTTTAACCAGTACGTGAATTGAGTTTTTGTGGGTAGGCAGATACTAACTATCATCAGTGAGAGGTGGATGATGAACTGCATGTTCCAAGTCTCTTCACTTGTATTCCTAGTCTGACTGAGCTTTAGGCATCAGCGCTGGAAGTATGCGCTTGGTAGTGGAAGAGTGCCTCAAGTAAGCCATTTGAATATAATCGTGACCTCGCTCACACTTTCTTCAGGTGGTCCAATCAACGATTCGTATTTGGCAAACCGCTAGTCTCACAACCTGTTATCCGATACAAGTGCGTTATAATCTGGATATGACGTTGAAGAAAATGCTCATAGTATATAGACTAGCAAACATGATCGCAAGAGTCGAGGCCGTCCAAGCGTGGTTGGAGAATGTCACCTACCAGATGACCCAAATGTCCCATAAAGAGCAGTCGGACAAACTTGCGGGGTAGGCCTAGTTTATCTTTTAGAAAATCATAACTGAGGATTTCCCGTAGTCAAATTGCTCTCCTCAAGATGTTCATCACTCGAGCTGGGCAGCAGACAGCAGAGGATGCGGCACAAATCTTTGGTGGACGCTCGCTCACCCAAACCGGAATGGGTCGCGTCATTGAAAATGCAAGTCACAGTCTGGGACCATTAACTTTAACCTAACATATACGCCCAGTATCGTCGAACTGCCGCCTTTGATGCTATCCTCGGAGGAGTCGAAGGTACGATCTCCATTTTCCTTTCGAGATTTCTCTGACCAACTCTTGCAGATGTCTTGGGTGATCTCGGTGTACGACAGGCCATGAAAAAGATGCCTTCAAACGCTCGACTATAGGCCTTTCGATTTATTGTCACATTTATGAGACGAGAGTTCCATTTGTATACTATTCCCATAATAGATACATTTTTTCTCCTAAATACATCGAGCCAAGGAATGAGCACAAGTACAGTTATATATCTTTAGGTGCCAGTTAGTGGCCGTCTTGGCGAGCCAAGGGGGGATCCGTCGTGTTGCCTTGCAGTGCAGAGGCTGGGGACAGGGGCGGAGAGGCGGCGGCGGGATGACAAGTGTGGATGAGGCTGGAACCGATGATCGTAATAATATCTCCTACCAGCACATTCTCCATCCAACCTCCTCTCACCGGAGGAGTTCCGTCTTCTTGATCTCTTTGGCGACAATGTTTCTTCCCTTGGACTCCCAGACGGGGTACGGCATTCCTTCTGTTCTTGCGAACCTTGGTACGTCTGCTGCGCCTCCTACTGGCATTTTGGGTCCTCCTTTCCAAAACCCTTTGCTGGTTGCGTCCGCTGCGGCTTGGCGGTCGTGGAATTTGGTGGGGTAGTAGAGCTTGTCGCCATCTTTGACTTCGCCAAATGTCAATAGAACGGCCACCGCGCCATCTGAAATAAGCATTGAACCAAGAGTTGGATAAGTGGACAAGATTATTGAAGCGAGAGCGATGCAAGCATCAAAAGATGGAGGTTAACTCACCATAAGTGTTGGGACCGTCCGCATCGTTTAGGATAGCGTGCGCAACACCGCTCCCCGCCTTCCACCCCACACAGTCTCCAGCGACCAGCAATTGTTCAGGTTCCTCCCCATTATACCAGTACCGCGCCTTGCCCGCTAGCATCACCACGAACTCGTCTTCTTCCGAGTGAGCGTGCGGGTACGAAGTTTGTGTGCCAGTTAAGAGGCACTCGATGGTCACGTTCCATTGGCGCATGGAGGTTTTGGTACAGGATATGTCGGTCAGAGAGGTGAGGACTGCTTTTTTCTTGGTGTGAACGCCGGTGCCTGTCCATTCGGTTTTAGAGTAAGAGGGTACGATCGTAGGGAATTCGGGGGGTTCTCTGTCCTGTATGATAGATTAGTGACATGAATGGAGAGTAAAAGATTTATCACTCACAAGAGTTGTGGCTGGGCGTGCATGTTTATCGCTGACGATAACAAACCCTCCACCTTCCTTACTCCCTACAAGCGTATACGACCTCGCCGTCTTACTCGGTGGAAACGCAAAGCAGTCCCACTGCGTGAGCTGCTTGGCCTCCGTATCCGTGTACAACGCGCCACTCCCATTCACCATGAACACAAAGTGGTGTACATTGGGTTGAACGGTACATTTGATTTCCTTCTTGGGTGGGAGAATAGAGTAAATGGATGCAATACGCGGGAGGTCAAAGGCGGAAGAGAGGTCGACTTGGGTTATACCCGTTGTGGCTTTGGTCTCGTCAAACAGGTTGATGACGCGACGGGGAGGATAGAGAGGGGGTGGTTGCAAGTTTGGTGGCATTCTTAATGCTTCAGATTGAATTTGGAAGAGGCGGTAGAGGAGAGGGGGTTGGTTGATCGCGAAACCTAGGGTCGAAAGGTTAGTGGCGCCGTCTAGTTCGGACGTCATGTTGCAGCACCTTTTCGTTCGGTTTATCGTCGTCGATGCGTGCTTTGGAGGGGGTTATAGAGGATTTGAAGCTCGTGTGATGGGTTTGAGGAGAAGCTGGTCGGAGTTGACGAGTTCAACTTTATGTTGGCATCGGCGACCACGCAACTTGCAAACCAATTTCCGATCAAGGGCTGGGGGTGGACGATCCGGCGGAGCTAAATGAAAGATAAAGTGTTGTAGAGCCAAGTTAACATGCGAAGTGATCCCGTTTTCAGGCAAGTTCTGGCGACTTGGAGAGACAACTCATTAAACGTAAAGAGCAGATAGACTGATTACAGTAACTTGATTATGCTTCCAACTATCATTACAAGAGATTACAATTTGGAATCAAGCTCAAACTGCCTGCTGGCCATGGGCCGTCTGCTTTTCGCTCATCAACCCTTGTCCATGGGTGACACTCCCTCCACTCCTCGACGGCGTCTTGAGTGCCAAGCGTCTCCACCACGTACTCCTCTGTGGCTTTGTCTGTCCACTCTCGGCCTTATGTTTCTGCCTCCTCATCGCACCCAGGACGATAGGAATGGTGATGAGGATGGAAGAGACGGCGATGATCCAGGCGATGATTTCGATAGCTTTGAGTTCGTGGCATTCAGAGATTCCACCTTTGACGGGGCCGATACCTCCGCACTCAACGTAGCCTAGCGTTTTGTGGACGAGTACACCTCCGACGATCCAGAACACCGTGTTGAGGAGTAAAAAGATCTGAGGAGAAGATGAGCGAGGTTTATTATGGGGTAGTGGGAAGACGTACGGTGTGGTGCAAGCTTTTGAACCACTTGTTGGCCCACCGCGCACCCATGTATACAGCGGCGAGGACCACACTTCTCACTGAAGAGAAGAGGAGGAAGGAGATGCGCTGACGTTCTTGTTTAGATCGCCACATGTGTTTGCGCTGGAGGTATTGGAACGTGTCGACGGTGAATCCGAGTTCGAGAATGGCAAGGATGAGCAGCCAGCCAAACATCAGCCTATGGGCACATGATTGTGAGCGGTTATACTCTTCTATCTCGTGAAGATTGAATAGGAGCTCACTGGAAACCATAGTGGTGCTCGGGCCTAGTGGTGGTCATTCCACCTCCAACGTTCGCCCTTTTCCTTCCAAATCCAAACATGTTCAACGGCAATTATGTGTATCGAGTGCCGAATAAGTCGTATTTACAAGAGCAACTCCTGAGGTTTATACCTCAAGGCTTCGGGGCGATTAGGAAAGCAAAATAAGCATATAAATGGGCCTTTATATACGCGCACAATCTACCTACATCATTGGAGACTCTTTCGCATATTCGCGCTATAGCACCCGTCGAAACGCATCATCGTGGTGTAGAATATTCCTCTTGTATGCATACGTAATACGTCATCCAGGTTTGCAGAACAAAAAATGGTCACCCGACCACGACGTCACACCTAAAAATAGGTACTTTCCACGTACATTCGCTTATTGTTTTTGAGTTTTGGTGGATTGGCGTAATGTCGGAGATTGCATCGGAGCTGGTGGTGGCGATGACGTCGTTCAGAGTGGGGGCCACTGGCCTTCGTAGTGGCCGCAACGTGAGACGTGTAAAACTGGGATTCAAGTAGTAGGAAAAGAGAAATAATTTTGGAGAAATTGCGAAAGTTTGGGATGCTGAGAACATTTGGATGGCGTCATCGTATAGCTGGTTAAGGCTGACGTGCTCTTTTCAATGACTCAGAAGTCGACAGAACTTGCGCACCCTCATGAATACATCGAATAGCTGTAAGGTCCAAGATTAATCGTTCAAGATACTTGTTAAGGAAACCTGCTGTGCGCCTTGCCTCTCAACTGCGGGCTTGGATCTGAATAGAGACAGGTCGCGCCTCCTTATCTGCTCTATCGAAATGAGTAGTTGAATATTATTGACTCGATCCTCTCGAGGAGGACTATTCAGTACAGAAGTAGGAATCGCATAGTCAGATGAGCATATTGATATCCAGCTATTCTATGGGCTGACTAGTGGGCCCATATCCTGGAATTAATTGAGATGTTTGTAATAAGGGCTACGGAATAGTCGATGAGGAGGTGATATCCTCACACTCTTTATTGTCATGCTCACTGGACATATGCCAACCCCAAGACCTATGTCGACAAATAGGGACAGACAAATTGCTTTAATGAAACTAAGGATCTTCTGGCTCTCCAGCCTTTTCCTTCTTCATTAATTGTACTGGTTCCAAAATACAGGCCACCATGGAGGCGAACAATCGCTTTATTGAAATAAATAATCCAGTCTCCTTTGAAGTAACCTGAGCCCTTGACTACTTTATAGAGTAAAAGATGTGCAATGGGACCTGGTTAGCTGACCCATAACTGCGGAGAAAGTCTTTTGACCTCCAAGTGATGGTTGGTGAGAATCACCAAGATATTGGTCAAAATAGAACTCTATTCGGATCTATCTCTCAGGAGGGAGGAATGGCCGACACTCGAACAGAGACTGGGAGGCCGAGGACCAGGTCCCGTTTAGGAAGCCCGCTGGGTGGCAGCGACTGGTCCACAGTTGGTTGAACCGGTCTGCAGACCATCGATATTATCACAAATTTATTTTCTCTTAACAATCTCTTTTCATCATAGGATACCTCCTGAGATTACTGGAAGGAGGACCACAACAGTGGGCGTGACTTGAAGGGTGCTGTAGAATATTCATGATCCGTTTTACTGCAGAGCCTAGGCCATATTCCACTCTCTACACCCAGGTTTGAATGATTAGGGTTGTGGGTTTTCATGGATTTGCATTACCTCTAGAGAGATGGAGCACACGCGTGTGTTTCGACCCTAAAGATCGGTACCACCTCGAGCTGAATCATGAGGAGGTCTATCTTCCAAACTTCGATTGTTTGATTAGAAATGAATAAAACGAAATTGTGACCAACCTCAAGAGAAAGGAGAGATCTTTTGGTTGGATGCAGCTCTACACCCTAATCACCGGAGCAGTAGCAAGCACAATCTCCAGTAACCAGTATTCTCATGTCAAAAATCAAGGGTACTTACGCCTCTAGCCGATTATCGGAGAGATTCACTAAGGCATGTTACGCAATCGTCATAATGCATCCCGCCTCCATGTATTTCTCCTTTCGACAGGAGAGCGGAACGAGCTCGGCAATTGCTGACAATCACTGGTAGATTAGATTGACAATTTTTACCAAAAATTATTCCTTCGTGGAAGAGGAGGCGTTGAGGCGGGTATTGAGTCATGGCGCACGGCCTCGGCTGACTGTCGAACTTGAACCCCAGCCTCCGTGCCTTCACAATGTGTACCCGACCTCTGCCATCATTCGGCCCCCCCAGCTTTCTTTGCTTGACCGTAGAGAAACCGATTCTGCCAATTCTTACCAACCTTCGATCATAAATCTCCTTCCACGTGTCGATCTTTACAGACCTCCTGGAGAGTGGACGAAAATTTCCAGTCAAACCGTGCACCAGCCTGTACCCTTGGCCAGAACTACGGATGCTCCAGACCTGAGATAGCTTTATTGGAAGGTGGTTCCTGAGGCGTAGAATTGGTTTTTGGGGGTTCAGAGTCCAGTTATACTGGAACTCTTCCTCGTAGCCTCGTGCCGGCCATGGGAGGTCGTAACTCTGGGAGTTGGAGGGTTTAGATCGCCAGGATATATAAAGTCTCATGACATCGCGTCATATCCAACCCCAACAAGTCATCCCTCGTCTCGAGTACACCTCCCCGTGGTTGCCCTTATATCAGCAATGTCAGACTGTACGTTCTTTCCTCTCATGACTCCCTATCATCGATGACTCATGTCCTTTATGAACAATAGTCATATATGCTCCTCAGCCAGACTATGGGACTATAAATCACGCGTCTTCTTTTATGAACGGTAAGACGACTCACTTTGGCAACTGGAAGGGTACTGATGTTGACTTGTCACCAGGTGGTCAAGACTTGGGAAAGACTTTTGAAGACACATATTCTTCTCAGTATATGCAGCTCTTCATCCCGGACATGTGTGACGATGCACTCCATTCACCTCTCGGGTCACTCAGCACGTCTCCCAACGATTCCGAGTCTTCCTTTGGTGGTAGCTCTAAGGCTACCAGCCCTTCCACTTCTGATCGCCAGCTTCCT